ACCCACTTTTATAATCATCTCATAAAAGACTTCTTTTCCAATTGCTTATCTTCTATGCCCTTCCCTTTGCTAATCACCTAAATCTTACTCATTTTTTTTTTTACCAGCAAAGGTTATCTGTGGCTTAAACATGATAGTTTTAAGACCACTAACTAGGGGTTCATTATTATTTTAACAAATTTTCCAGATATGGTACCCTTGTGTGCTAAGGTTGGGCCTATTCTCTTTCCAATTTTATATACCTAATAATTCATGGTTAAAGGACAAGATAATAACTATTTTTGAGTACCCCACTGTGGAGACACGATCTCCTTTGATCCTTGCAGCAATGTATAAGGCAAGTGGCGGCATCTTCCCTCTACTGACGGTAGAACTGAAGAGAGAGTGCCTAACTTGCTTAGGGCTGCACAGCCAAGTGATGAAGCTAAACCCAGTCTAGGCTTACTTAATAGTATACTCACATTAAATGTCTAGAAGCAAATACCTAAAACAAACTGCAAGTCTTCCCTATTTACCATACAAATTATTCAACTGAACAGCCATTTTTGCCTGGCTTGAAAGATACTTTTCAGAAGAATAGGCTTGTATCCAAACAATAGCCCCTCATACTCCCCTTCCATATTAAAGATAGGATACATTCAGCTATATGCTCAACAAGTATCTGCATAAGCAATTCTCATCACTATTAAAAGAATTTATTTGTTTACTAAGAAAATTTAGCCCCCTCTCAGGGAATTTACCCTGGGAAGATAGTGTTGAAAACTACAAAGTTCCTAAGCAAGTACAAATGATACTATTATACAGATTATACAAATTGCCAAGGAAATAGAAAAGCAAGGAGGTGTTTAATGTTGGTGCCGGCCTATTAGAGGAGACGGAAGTCTGCTGGTTCTTGAAGGCAAGTGATGACCTCAGATTGAAAGGCTGAAGAGGCACTGAGTCAGAGAGTGGCATCATCAAAGACTAGAGCTGAAAGAACATGAGACCAATCCAGGCAGTGATAAGGTCAGATCAGCTGGAACTGGGTAATGGAAAGAACCCAGAGATGGTGATAATGAGAAACCTGCAGGCCACAGGTCTCAGAGAGGTGCAACATAACCAAGAGTTCAAGAAAGATCATCACGGGGATTGTGTACAGCATGTAGAGATACAGGATCTTGCCTGCTCATAGGGCCAGCAAAAGGCTTAGGTCAATGTGGTAGAGGTCTAAATGGACACAAAGTCAGCAAAGATGGAAGGAATATAAGCAGAGCATTCAGCACTGATATTAAAGTTGGAATCCTGGGTTTCGAGAAAGGTGGTGGTACCTTAAGCACTGTTTGAGAAACAAGAAAAAAACTAAACTGGGAGACACAGTGAGTTTAGTTCTCACTACAGTAAGTTTCAGATGTCAGTAAAATATCTAAATGGATCTCTGGGCTTCCATTCAGCTATTTCTTTGTCAAGCATCCATTGTGTACATAAGCAGCTCTTGGCTATATTAAAAGAATTTAAGTTTATTTGTTTGTTTTTTGTTTGCACTTTTGCTCAATCCTTCCTTAGGCTTCTTCCTCACAGTGACTTTCTCAGATGAACATCTGATCAGATTGTTTTCTGAGCTTAAAAATTCTTCAGAGGCTTCTTATAGCCTATAGCAACATTTCTCAAGAAGTAGTTACTAGACAACTTGTATCGGAATCACCTGGGATTCTTGCTAAGAATTTAGATTCCAGGCTCCCTACCCAGGCCTATAGAATCAAATCCTTTGGGTGGGCCCAGGAATCTTCAGTTTAGCAAGCACCCTGGGTGATCCTTAGACGCAGTGAAGCTTGAGATTCCTTGACCTTCAGGGTAGAATTCAGCTCATCCCTGTGCCAAAGAAAGGTGTTCTGGACTTAGCCCTGCCTACCTCTGTAACCTCATCCCTTACCACCCACCCAGAACTCCTTGCAGCTCCTTCACTTTTTAATAATTTTATGGCTTTGTCACAACAGCCTCTCTTCCTAGAATTCCCCCATTCACCTGGAAAAAATCCTGCTCATCCTGTAAGGCCCAATTCACTGTGACCTCCCCTGTCAAGCCTTCCCTTCTGCCCTACCATGCTCACCACAGCAGAGTTCATCACTCCTTCCTGCATACACTTGTAGAAGCCACCTGCCATCTTGCTGCAACTTGTCTACCTGTCTGTCTCCTCTTCTGGCCTTTGAGCTGCTTGAGGACAGGGACAAAGTCTGCATCGTCTTTGCATCCCCAGGCCTTAAAACAGTGCCTGGTGTCAGAAGGTGCTCTATAGGTTGTTCAGTGGGTGAACTGGAGAGGAGACTGAAGCTGGGAACTGCTAGGAGGAACACCTCTGTTCCTTGGTAACTGAAACTAGGAAGCAGGCCAGGGTGTGAGATAGAGCTAAGAATGGTAGGGAAAGCCAGGTGCATGGATGCTGAAAGAGGATTTAGAAAGAGAGAGAGGAGCCCGGGGCTGGTGGGAGTTGGGGGAGGCAAGAAATGAGAGAGAATTTTCTTTTTAACATTTACAATGTGTGAAAAAGGGCAAATTTAAAAAGAGCAGTCAGAGAAATTGGAGAAGATTAGTCTCAAAACAAAAGAAGATGGTACTGGGCAACTGTACCAAAAACAACAGAAGAGTTTAGGCAGCTGATGATTGAAAATGGATCCTTGAATGAGTCCAACGCACAGACTTGTCTTTTAAGAAAGCAACAGAATGTTAAACCACCCATCTCATCGTATATCTAGACTCTAGCGCAAGGATTGTTGCCGCAAGTGTGAAGCTTTTAGAGTGATTTCTTACGGAATGGACATACCAGTTAACTGTTTTCTGGCCCCTCCTTTGATGTTTTCTTTGCAGCAATGCACTGACGGATATGAGTGGGATCCTGTGAGACAGCAATGCAAAGGTGAGCCAGCTTCCAAGACCTCCCATGTGATCATTGCCTTCTGTCTCCATCTCTTGTGTCACTCTTCCTATCCTGTCTGTGTTATGCCAAAAAGGCATGAGCATTATATTTATATGTTTGACTTTTCCCTCTTAGAAGATTCCTGACTTATTTTATTACTGACCACAGATATTGATGAATGTGACATTGTCCCAGACGCTTGTAAAGGTGGAATGAAATGTGTCAACCACTATGGAGGATACCTCTGCCTTCCAAAAACAGCCCAGATTATTGTCAATAATGAACAGCCTCAGCAGGAAACACCAGCAGCTGAAGGAACCTCAGGGGCAACCACCGGGGTTGTATCTGCCAGCAGCGTGGCAACTAGTGGAGTGCTGCCCGGGGGTGGTTTCGTGGCCAGTGCTGCTGCAGCCGCAGGCTCTGAAGGGCAGACTAGCCGAAATAACTTTGTCATCAGGCGGAACCCAGCTGACCCTCAGCGCATTCCCTCCAACCCTTCCCACCGTATCCAATGTGCGGCAGGCTATGAGCAAAGCGAACACAACGTGTGCCAAGGTAGGTAGGATTTATCTTCCTAACCACTGAAAGCTTTTGCCCAAGTGTACCTTGTGGTGAGGATGATAATAGTGCACATTTATTAAGGACTTTCCACGTGCCAGACATAGTGCTAAGTGATTTGTGTACATTATCATAATCATCACAATATTCCTAAAGGGTAGATGACACTGTTGTCATCATTGTTTTACAAATGGGAAACTTGGCTCAGAAGATTCATCAGTGGTTCCCAACCTTAGCTGCCCATATTTAGAGTCACTTGGGAACCTTTAAAACTTCTCTATGGCCAACCTACACCCCAGCCCAATTAAATCACAGTCTCTGAGGCTGGATTGCAGGCATCGGCTATTTTTTTTTTTTTTTTCAGTTTTTCATATGTGGCCAAGTTTGAGAACCAGAGATCACACAGGTGCTAAGTGCAGAGCTGACCTTCCAACACAGGCAGGCGGGTGCCAAAGTCACAGCTGGCAAAAGTTGCCATCAGGTTATTCACTGGGAATTTGAAATTGTCATGTCAAGCTACTCCACAGATGTACCCTTTGGTTTCTCAAGTTTCCTTTCATTTAACTGGCCATGGACTTCTTTTCCTCATTCAGGAATAAAGAAATGGGGCTCCTGTTTCTCATTACCTTGGAGGTACTGTCCCCCACTCACATTTATGTCTCTTTTAAAGCTCTCATTTGAGCATATTTCACTTATATCATTTGCACCATGGCATCATCTGCATAGGTTTTTTTTGTTTATTTTCACAGAGCATACACATCACGGTGTATTCTAGAAACAGCTGTAGGCTCATACTAGCAAAGTGATAAGAATCTGGGGCTTTGAAGACATGCAGGATATTAGCTGACCAAACTGTGCTAAGAGATGATTTGTTTCCCTTTTCCTGCTTAGCAAACCATTTCACAGCAGCCTGGTATGGAAATTGTGTTACAGAAATGGGGCCATTTTAGCCCCCAGGCTCCTTTCTCCCTGCCAGAGGCTAACTAGGTAGACCCCGTAGTGCAGAACTCCATGTCGCCACCACATGCATGTATGGCACATGTGGGCCAATAAAAAGGGCCCAGGAGTCCTTACCTTCTAACTGGTCATGCGTGAGAAAGAGAGCACCATCCTCCCTTAACAACGAGGGTTTCAACAAGACTGCTGGGCTGCTGCATTAAATGAAAGATGCATGTTCTTGTGCCCTGGGATGCTGCTCCGTATTCACCCATGCTTAGTTTTATCTTCTGTATAAAAGATACTCGAATTTAAATGGCTTAAAAATGAAATAAGGGGTTGGGTGCAGTAGCTCACATCTGTAATTCCAGCAGGAGGTTGAGGCAGGCGGATCACCTCAGTTCAGGAGTTTGAGACCAGCCTGGCCAACATGGTAAAACCCCGTTTCTACTAAAAATACAAAAATTAGCTGGCAATGGTGGCATGCGCCTGTAGTTCCAGCAACTAGGGAGGCTGAGGCAGAAGAATCGCTTGAATCTGGGAGGTGGAGGTTGCAGTGAGCCGAGATTGTGCCACTGCACTCCAGCCTGGTCAACAGAAAGACTCTGTCTCAAAAAAACAACAACAAAAAAACATGAAGTAAGGAAACCTGTCATGCTCTGACTTTTATTTATTTCATATTTTGTTTGTAAGTTTTAAGTACCCCACATCAAGACCTAACCCATGTTGTGATGGTGTCACTTTTCAGAGGGTGCACTGTGTTTCTGTCATGAGTCAGAATTCTAGTATTGATGATGAATGCTTTAGCATCTGCTTGATATTCTAATACTGAATTTAAGGATTATGTCAAGGAGAGAAAATGATGAGGTTATTCTTATACATGTATTTGTGTGACTATTGATTAAAAATATCTTGAGTTTATTTAAGATATACAAACTTTAAACTGTGTTACTTAGTTATATAACTAGATTGGAAAGTTTGGTGTTATTTTTCCCAAAATCAAAAAGTTTTGCTGAAAAATTCTTAAGTGTCAACTTTTATATACTGAATTATGTTGAATACTTCAGATGTATATTTTAATGGTACTTGGGACAAAAAAAAACCTGATAAACGAATAAGTCATTTGCCAAAGTAGTTTGTAGACCATCATTGACACATATGGTTGAATTCAAGAACAATGCCTAGAACTAAATGAAGAGGTCCTAGAATAAAATATATTCAAGGCTTACCACATGCATTGGTTATGGTAGAAACTATACTGTGATTAATTAAAATAAAATCCTATTTAACTTTTCTTGAAAATATTTAGACTACCTAACAAAGTAAGTTACATTTCACATAGTAAAACATTTATAGTTCTTAATTCTTTGTGAATTTTTTAAAATTATAAGCAAACTATTAAGTGCCGTGTTTATGGAATATGCTAAATACATACTTGTTGACTGTGTGCACACAGGTTATTTCCAACCCTAACTGTTCTGTGTAATTCAGCCAGTTTCTAAAATTTGAGATTGGTGTCTATACTATTGAAAGCAGGGTTAAAAGTGTTTTGGAAGACTTATGGCTTAAGTTGGATTTCTTCCCACCTTACAATTTTGCAAAGTGCCCAGAAGTGTGGATTTACTTAATTGTTGATAAAAGGGGGTATTTCATATGATAACAACGGGATACTCTGTCTAGGGAATTTGACTAACATAAGTCGAGTCACACTTGTGCCCGTTTATTATTGAGCTAATCAAACATGCAGTCCAGCTTCCTCTAATTGCCTGCAGATGTATGACATTCTCATTCCAGGCCAGCAGCACAAAATAATGTTTTATAACCAACGCGAAAGTATGGGGACCTCCGTTTAAAACAGTAATGTGCTCCAAGGACCTATATTATTGACATCATCATGGAGTTTGAGGAGTCTTCTGTTTTAGTAAAGCTCTACACTCCCTTTTAAATGTTGCGTATTTATACCCAGTAATCCAAACACATTTTTCATGGTCTACTGGATTAGAATAAATGAATCTTACAGATAAGTCTTATATGCATAAAAATTATTCCTTTTTTCCATATACATTTTTTAGCAGGTATAGTTTATCATTATATAACCTAAAACTGAGGACATTTTAAATGTAAGAACTGAAAGCTGTACTGTGATTCAGTCTTCAAATCTATTGTGCCTTTGAATGCACTGTACCAGTCACAGATGGCTCCTAAATAATTTAAATAATTAGATTTTTTAAATGTACACTGTTTTACAAATATATCTTTTAAGTAGCTATCCTTGTTTTAACTGTTTAATGAAAGCATGATATTTTTACTCCCCTTCATGTATTTTTTTGGGGGGTTCAGTTTTTTACAAAAACAAGGAGTTTAAAATGCAACATAACATCAAAGATCAGGTCATAGTGAGCAGGTTTTTTTCAGGTAATTTTTGCTAAATGAGGATCATGCTGTGGGAGCCAGTCCCACTGAGAGTTTCCCATGACTGACATTATTCTTGGCAGCTATAAAATGAAGATTATTTCAGTGTTACATACCTGGAGCCATGTATAAATAATTTTAGAAATTGTTTCCATGAGATGTCATCTGTCTCAAAAACAACAGATACTCATTTACACCAAAAATATGTTGAATTGAATGGGGACTATATTACAAACTGTTGCTGGCTCACCTTTAATTTTCTACACCTTTATTGCATAGTGTCTATAATAATCTGTCTCTTTTTTTTTTTTTTTTTGAGACAGAATCTCGCTCTGTCACCCAGGCTGGAGTGCAGCGATGCTGTCGCTCACTGCAACTTCTGACTTCCAGGGTTTAAACACTATTGTGCCTCAGCCTCCTGAGTAGTTGGGACTACAGGCATGCACCACCCCACCCCGCAAATTTTTGTATTTTTAGTAGAGATGGTGTTTTGCCACGTTGGCCAGGCTGGTCTCAAACTCCTGACCTCAGGTGATCTGCCCACCTCAGCCTCCCAAAGTACTGGGGTTACAAGTGTGAGCCACCATGCCTGGCAATAGTCTCTATATAATTTTTCTAAAGGAGATGGAGTTAGAAATCACTAGATGGAATTGAGAAACGATTTTTTTTAAATCATATATAACTTTCTAAGACTTCCATTCCTGTATTAAAAAAATCCTTTGGGAGCTGACAAGAAAGAGAAAGTATTGATTGTCCTAACTGAAGAAACTTGTTTGTTTAATTGAACTTTAAAACAAATTAAAACACAGGGCATTTTGCATAGCTGGTAATTAAGCCATTACTAAACTGTGTCAGAACTTACAGGTATGACTACTAACTTGGTAAAGAAACTATGCCATCAAGAAATGAACTCAATATGAATGCCTAATAAAGCTGATTGTAAAACCAAATCAAGTACAGTACCTGGCTTATATTATATAAGATATCATTAAGAAATATGAAAAAGGCATACCCTAGGGTTTCTACCATCATTGTCTACCGGAACTGTCTGGTTTCAAAACCAGAAGTTCCATGTTCCTGGAAATGCCTTCGTCCCAGACAAATAAAATGGTTGCGCCCCTATCATACCCCCATAGACAAATCGCCAGCACCTCACAGAAAATAGTGAAAAAATTCTAACATTAGAACCATTTTTTCAGGTTGAGGCATTGCTTATCCAGTGAGACTATTTTTACAATTTGTTTTGAACTTTCAAAAGCCAAACTGCACTGATTTTAAACTAGTTGGACAGCGTCTTTCTTTGCAGTTGTTGGGATCCCATTTGCCAGTTTGCCAATGAGCAAGTTTCTACATTGTTTTAGATGTTTTATGTGTAGGATACCTGGACATCAGAACCTGCACGCTTAAATATGTGTCATACTATGGGAAAGTTGGGAATCTTTTCACATTTCTACCTGGAAAAAATTTCACCACATGGCCAAATTAAATACCATATTTCACCTATAAATTTTTGTTTGCTAAAATTTTTATTTTTTCCAACTTTCAACTATATTTTCAATTTTATTTTATTTTTATCATGATTATATGTGATACAGGAGTGATTAGAACACTAAAAAATGTATTTTTGCCTCCTAAAGGAACAAATTACAGTGACCTAGGGTAAAAATTTAAAAACTTCCATAAACTTAGGAACCATCCATTATACTCTACCATTTCTTTATAAACATAAGGGCAACTAAAATACTGTTTTGAAAAGGAAAGAAATTATTATCTATACATCTACCTTTGCAAAGATGAACTTGAACTAACATGTACAGCTTCTCAGACGCTAGGGATATCTTTCTTTGACTTCTTCTATTTTAAACTTAAATGATTTCATATCCAGAAGAGAATCAGAAAATTATAGTGTAACCAAGTGGCTTAGTTATCTGGTATTGTCATTACCAAACAGCTTTCAAACACTGCCCTTTTGTTGATTCTCATTAATGTCATTAGGGTCACTGGCTGCATAGGTTAGTTTTTTGAGGAAATGCCTAATTTTTCTTACATATAATTATATAGCCCAGTGAAGACCTGTGATCTCAGAAAATAGATATTTTGCAAAAGGAAGACTATAATTGAGTTAAATTATGATGTTAACCTAAGAAAAAGTACTTCAATCAATAAGGAAAATGGGCATTTAGCCTGCTTACAGTTCTTCATTGTTTTTAGTTGTTAATTACCTCATATACCTAAAAATTCTCTAAAGCCATATAAATGGATAAGAGCTGAGTTTATAGGGAAGACTTAATTATTTTTCAAATTATACAAGTGATTGATTTGCTCCTAAAAATTCTAGCACTGTTTCATAATTTACTTTTCAATATACTGCAGGCACTGAATTTCTAGTCAATTTATGTCATTTTAAATATGAATTTGTGAACAGTAGGTATATGTATCTGATTCATACACAGTCACAAAATGTTCTTTAAGTTCCTTCGTAAAAATTGAATGACAAATGTTTGAGACGGGAGGATAGAAGAGGTCAGTAAGATCACTCCACTGCAGCAAGACTATGCTATGCACCTCCCTAATTCAATGGTTCCCAAAGTGTAGTCCCTAGACCAGAAGCATCAAGCATCATTGGGTAACCTATTAGAAAAGCAGATTTCCCCCAGACCTACTGAATCAGAAAGCTGGTCCTGGGATTATACTGTTTTAGTATATGTGCTGCCGAAGCGAGCATAGGATTATATTGTTTTAACAATATATATATAACATATAGTGTTATAAAAATATAATTATATATATTTTGATAACAATATAACTAAATATACTTACATAATTATGATATATAACTATATATACTATATAACTATATATTGTTTTAATGATCCCATAATATTGACACCTCCTCAAATCTGAGAACCAATGCCTTAACTTAATCTTAACTTCAAGAAGCTGCATGCAGCTATATAAATCAGAGGGCAGGGTCAGAATACTTCATATGGGATATAAGAAGCAGTGAAAAGAAAACATCAGAAATATACACTCTGCCTCTAGGGTAAGATAATATTTCTGTTGTCCTTCTCTCGCTTTTCTTACTGTCATCTCTAGTACTCCGATTCCTAAACATGGATGGTCATGAGTCCTGATTAAGACCATATTCCTGAACCAAGGACATGATGTATGCAATCTAAAGGAAAGGGGACATATTAAGAAAACGGGCTGCATATCTCTGCAAAACCTACAAATATGCAATCATATAACTATTCTTAAATTGTCAGTAGGTGAGACTCTAATTTTTGTTCTGGCTATGGCAATGATTGGTGCTAAGTGACACCTATGTCTTCTATAGGGCTCCTCCTTAAGTTCATGGCACAAACTTATGAGATGAGGCAATGCCATTTGGCTGTTCAGTTTGTGTAGAACCACAAAAGAGAAGGAGATTGAC